GCCCTTTCCTTTCTCTAGATAAATATTAATAACTGTACCTTTGAAGCTCAGTCACTTTGGCCTGGTGATGTAATATCAACAACCATTAGTTTTTGATTGAAGTTATTTTATCACTTATTGGACAAGAATATTGACATGATCGACTTACGTTTAGTTTGTCCATTTCTTTTTTGAAATTCTTTTCTTTTACTCCATTCTCCATCTCATGCTCGCTATCATATAAGGACAGAGAGTGGAGGGATTAGCTGGACGTATACAGCAGGCGGTACCAAAGGATATCGTTATTTTGATTGTTTTCATAATTTACCATGAACAACTATCAGTTGTCATCGTTTTCATGTAATATTAAAAATGTACGAGTTTGATCGCTGTTGCCGCATTTTATTTTACTGTACATGCCTCTATACATTTTTGCAGAAATGCACATGTCAAGTGCATTGTATCGTAGCTTTACTCACCTTTTCTGTTTGAGCTTGAGCTGTAAATAAAAATGTAAAGAATTAAAACAATAATCATTTGTTCAAGTTGCGTTACTAATCTTTCACGTTTTTGGGGGGTTATTTTATTCGACCGATGTGTATTGCCTGTAGCTGCCCAGCAAGTCAGTGTACTTACGTTAAGTTCTTTTATTGTTGTCGTCAAGTTCTGTTCATGTGTATTGCGCTCATTCAGTTCGCTGTAAATGATCAAATTACAACATATCATTAAACCATATATATCGCCTAGCGTACGCATCAGGGAATAAAGGAAGTTTCCCAGGCGTTAGGGGAAGGGTCACAGAACAGGGGCGTGTAGGGATGGGTTTGAATACTTCAGGGTTTCTCATAATACAAACGTATTTCTATTGCTAAAGGATATTATCATTAAACTATTTTCATAATATACCATTTTCGTCATCGTTTTTCTGTACTGATTTTCTTGTTCAAGCCCAAACACTAATTTTCTAATGGTAAACAGCTCAGAATACATCTTACCTTTCAAGGCGTAGGATCTTGTTCTGTTGATAAGAAGCCAGGAATGTTAGACGCACACAAAATAATAATTACGTTTTTATACTTATTTCATATATTGAATGTATTGATAATATCTCCTTGTAGAAGACGTAGTTCTTTATTCTCGTAAACTTAACGAAGAGTTCCTTGTATACATACCATGAGTTCTTGTTTTTCTTTTTCATGGCTAAAAAAAGAATGAAAAAAGGTAAAATCTAATTAAGTCAATGATCATTTCCATATTTTGAATCCCCTGCAAGATGCATCTATCATCTCTTCTGCTATTATTCACCCCCACCTCTCATTACTATTCTTATTTTTTTGTCATTTCTTTTTGTTATTGTTGTTGTTTGCTATACCCCCTCCTCCTTCGCTATGCATATCTATCTATTACCCACCCTCCTCACCGCTTCACATCTATCTTGTTATACCCCCTCCCCCTTCGCTATGCATATCTATCTATTACCCACCCTCCTCACCGCTTCACACCTATCTTGCTATCCCCGGCATCCCCAACCCTAATCAAAGTTATACTTACAATGAAGTCAGTCTTAAGTACTGCTTTTGGAGTGCCGTCTTTTATTTAAAAATATCACAAAATGAAATAAAAACATTAATGTTAAACGAAAATAGAGATGAATGTAATGATTACGGAATAATTAAACATGTATCCTAACAATCCAGCAATCACTGTATATAGCTGGGTGTAAAATAAAAGTACTTCACTGAGGATAATTACCTGAAGCTCTTTATGAGCGGCGGTATCCAAGAGCTGCSACAAATTTATTAAAACTATTGTTAGTTCTAAAACGAAATCTTTTTATAATATATCAAACTGTTAACGCACCCGGTAAAAGCAAGACTTTTACTTTCTTCAAGACTGTTATTTACATATACATGTTACATGACCAAAGAACTTTTTATTGATTTATTTTTGATCTTCTAAGTGCTACATGATAATTGCAAATGCTCAGTCCCGACCTTTGCGCATTTTTTTCCTCGGACACTTAATTGTTCGTGTTTTTTCATTTTAAATCACAACTACATATCTTCTTATTTGGTGACAAAATCAATTTTCCTASCAATAGTAACTATCTACTTTGAGAAAATTGTTTATTGATAGATTATTTTTATCTTGTTATCTTTTGCAGCTTTATAAAAGTTCTATTTTCCATATTCCTAGTTTACTTACCGATTTTGGACTGTGTCGTCCAGATTCTGGACTTTGTCGTCGTCCGTCATTGGCTGAAGTTAGTCAAAAATAGCGCTTTTAGAAAAATATGATCATAAATATGATCACGTGCCCGTGTCAGATATTTCCATCAAAATCGATACTTACTTTTAACATGCTTTTTTCCTCCAACGGAAGCCATTGTTCGGAATCAAAAGTGTGAATCGAGTTACAAGAAGTTTAAGTTACAAATCTGAAAAATAAAAGAAATTCATGCATTCAGAATGATCAATAGGTATTTCATGAAGGAGACGTAAACTTACCTCCTTACTGTATCGAAGATACCAGGCGAGTGATTTGATTAACGATTATGACGTCATTAGAACGCGCGAAAACACCGCTGTACTAGGAAAGCGCAGGTTAATTGAAGTACACAAGAAACCCAAATGATAAGTTAATTGGGAAAAGGATTTTTCAAAGAAAACTGATTAAATGGTCAAAAAACCTATTATAAAAAGTTGTCAACGTCAATAAGTAAAAAGTAAAAAAAATCAAGTAGAATAGAATAAAGAAAACTAGCTCCTTTTGAGGCTAAAAACAATATTTGCTAGCTTTGAAAGAAGAAGTTTTTTCAGTCGGTTGTGTTTGTGAACTATATTACTCTTGGGATTTTGCTCTATTTTGAAAATCGTGCATTTCTTGTCAATATGAATTTGTCTAGTAGATGTCCTTTCCAAAACAAATTGCCCATATTTTATATCAAATATGTTGAAACTAGACACTCTGAGAGCATTTAGTCGGGCTAGACGAAATAATTATTTAGACTTGTAAATACCATCAAATGATAATTTTTTTCTACGAAGTACATCAACGTAACAATTGTGGGTATGAAACCTAGAGTTACATTTGAACTCTTCGCATGATAAAAAGCATTTCAATTTGGTACATAACGCGCGTTTTTGGGGGATTCCTATGCAATCGGACATCAAACAGTACTCATATCAATGCATAAATGCAAGTTCAAAATCTCCCTAGCCCATCCCGGGGGTATATTAGACCACGACCTCGCGCTATATTAGAGCATTTAGTTATAATGTTTTTGCAAATATATACGACCGGCAAAAAACTTCAATAAATAGTTATGTTATTGTCAGAATTTAGTCTCACTACAGAATCGATATCAGGTGAAATTTAAAAATTTAATTTTTAATCGTTGTTCGTTTAACGCTCCCCTCCTGCAAAAAAGTAGCAATAGTTTTTATACAACCAAGATAAGCAATACTGTAATCTAAATGAAACAGATAAAGACACATGGCAGACAGGGAATCCGTTGAATTAAGCAGGCGAGCTCTTACTTCAAAGCTCGGGCGGATCGATAGAGGATGGCCTTGCTGCAATATGCGCGTCCAGGACAACTACTGACAAGTATCTAAATTGCATGCTTTAAGGTTAATCACTGTATCGCTTTGATACAAAGATGTTACTGGTAACTTCGTTAGTATTCTAATTAGCAAGTCGAAATCGCTTTTCTATGTTGTGTACGCTTATCGACAATCAAAATCTTTAATTAGATTTTTTTTAGTAGTACACTCACTGCAACAAATGGAATTCTAATATTTTACTAGAAATTCTAATGAATACTCGAACGACGCCTTTAATTCAATTAGCAAATCAACCTAATATAAAAATTAGGCAACATCTGTAACGGCCAATAGTGTCCGTTAGGGCCTGGGACGAGACCCAGCCACATGGTTCAATTTCAGTGAGACATTATTTTGTGGGTATATTTTGTGTATCCGTGTGTAGCCTCGGAAGGGATATAATGTAAGTTTTCCTCTCGTTTTTCCCTAATTACACATTGTATATTAGTCTAACATTAGCTTTTGTTTTATTTACAGTTGTGAACCGATCTTTACATATTTATTACAGGTTTTTTACCTATCGATGTACTTAGTTTCAAGATGTGATTAAACTGTTTAAATCGAGTATTACAGCGAATTTTGCGTCTACAATACGAAATAGCGAAGCTCAATATAGAAGCTGAAAATGATTATCTAGTCAGCTATCTAGTACTACTATTTCGAGGATAGCCTTATAGTAGAGATGCGCTGTTTTAAGGAATGTAAACACAACATCTTTTGTTGACATCCGAACAAAGATTATAAACATTTATAAAATTTTTGATATATAACGCGCGCTCTGATTGGCTGACGACCGTGTTTATATCAGAGGACAGAGAGACGGCTTACCGGCAAAATTTTCTTTTCGCTCGAAAAATTTTATAAAAGAAATATAAAACGGCCGCTTGTGTCTCTGTCCTCTGATATAAACACGGTGGGAGTTAAAAAAAACACTTGAGAAGCAAGAGTGTTATATTTCTTAAATTTATCATTTTTAGCTTAGCTCAAAAAGGTTGACTTTGAGGATAGATTTTGTTCAGTTGGACAAAGTTATTACTTATAAAAAACCGGCCTACACTCGAACTTCAAATCACGGAAAACTGCAAACTGCTGAACTTCCGATAAATGCTGCTTTCTGAAATACTAGGAAAANTCGACAGTTGTACAATTTTCTGCACTCCCCTTAGTAGTCGGGAGTTTTTGAAGTGATTCCATGGAAACTGTCGTCCAATCAGAGGGAGTTTTGCAAGACGGTCAAAGTCCGTGTCCAACTCGGTCGATGAAGGGTTGACCGGATGCAAAAATTGAGTCCGAATAGCGTACAAACATGACGATTTGGCACGGTTGGATTTATAAACCGTTGAAAGGTTGCCCAATTCTGGATAGAAGGATCCTAGAGACATGCCGCTGAGGGTATTTTGGAGGCAAAAGATGGATTTAAGATATTTTTTTCGGCGATTAAAGACAAGTGGTGTGGACGCTCTGTAACCAGCCTTGTAGTCTTTTACTACTGAGGGTGATATTTTTTATAAAATAGGTMTAAATMCMTTCAAAACCACAMACAGCAATGTTAAATAACATCAAGAACACATGATATCAAGGTAAGATGATTTTATTAAAAAAAATTTTTGGTATGCTCTGCTTGGGTTGCCTGTGGCTATGCTAAAACTGAAACAACGGTGAGGAATGCAGTAACAAACTCGTTCAAAGATCCACATTCAACAGAACCATACTTGTTCAAACATAGGAAATTTATAAATTTATGAATTTATGTAATTCTGTCAATTCTTCGTTGTCAAGTCTCTCTCAATGCAGTGCCACTGACCCAAATTTTAAGCCGTAACTTAAACATTTTTGCACTCGGTATAAGGTCGTATAAGATTTTAGCAACGTTTCACAAAAGAGCAAATTTTTGTTGCATTGACTTCAACGCACGTTCGTTTTTTTTCCTTGCATAAAGGAAAAAAAGAAATTATAAATTTGAATATCTATTTTTCAATGAAACATCGGTCAACAGGAATAAAGAAGTAATGTTTCTCTCATAAGTTTTATAATTTGATCACAACACAGTGACAATTTCAATTCATATTCAGCTTTTATTTTACAAAAAAACACATCTATCCCTATAAACTCAATAGAAATTTTTTACAACTTCAAGTTAAGATAAGCTTATAAACAAAGGTGAGAACTTTATTCAAATTTAAAGCTTCTAAAACTATTTATTTCAATAGTGAAAAACACTAGTCAAAAGTTAGTCAAAATTTCGAATTACAATTTTATAAAAAAGCTATTCCTTTGTGCAGAAAAAGTAAAATATTTAATTCTTGTAGAAAATTGTAGAGAACTACCAAGAAATGATGAGATGAAATAGTGTTGATGTGTTTTTTGTTGTGTTTCATTATTTGTATCAGTACAAACCTACATCTCTGAGTCTAATATTGAATTATCTATATCTTTAAGTCAAGTCCAGGATAATTATCCTGACGGAATTTTTTACTACTTTCACTAACTTCTATAGATACTGGATTAAGAAGCAGGTTTAGATAGGTTAGTTTTCTTGGTACATGTAAGTGATGGATAATGTGATGCACTCCTACATCGGTTATGTTATTACCACGCAGGCTTAGCTCGGTTATGTGAGAGCGATGTAAATCTTCACACAAACACTTTATATGTTCATCATTCAAACCACAACCATACAGCCTCAGTCTAGTGATGGTGCAGTTTGGATGAGTGAAAGATGACAGCAAGCTCTTTAACCCGGTAATGGTTATCTGTGAGTTAGCAATGTACAATGTGTGTGGTGGTGATGATATTGATGTAGCAGAGGCGGATTTTACTAACATAGCGAGTGCATCACAGTCCGTGTCGGTTACATCAGGTAATTCAATCCACCCGTCACTATTCCAGTATCTTTTTCCACGGTTTGTTGTCAGTTCTCGTCTTGTGAATTCTTTCTCTAGGCCGTACTCATGGAGACAGCGCAATGACACAAGGCTTTGTCTCCATTTGTACTCCATTTGTTTACATACACACTCTAGTACTTTCGACATACATTCATCGTTGTTGTTCTCCTTGTCTAAACCCAACAAACCACTCGTGAATATGTGCACCATTGCAGAGGTTTCTTGTGCCGCCATTGTACGCTTCTTCACCAAATGACGAGCAACAAAAAACTCTTGAATTGTTAAATGTGCGAAACCATATTCAAGAGTTGTTTGTGGGCATGGAGAATCATTGGTAACAGGATAACAAAATATTAAATTACTTGCTTTAAGGTAAGACATTTCATTTTCAGGTAATTTCAGCTTTTCTAAATCTTTTTGTGTGAAAGCAAAGCGATTTTGTCTGGCTTTTAACTGCGAGGCTAGTTCAGAAAAGTTATCCAGAGTTTTCTCAATAGCCAGCGAAGCATTTTCCTCATTTAAACTTTCCATCTCTTTGTTAGCTCTTTCTAGGGAAGTAGTTATTTCACAATAAAACTGAGTGAGTGTAAGAGGAACTAAATTATTTCTAGTAATTTTGTTTTTGATTTCCCACTCGATGACTTGGCACACGAACAAACACATAAGAGGGACGCGACCAAATGACATGTAATGTGCGGTTCCTTTGACTTTCTCCATGGCCATCCTTTTTTCTTCATCTGATTTAGAGTTGAAATATTTTTCAACATATTGAAGAACCTGTTCTTCTGAGAAACCAGTAATTTCCACACATCTGTCGAAGTGTAGTCTTTCGTCTAACTTGCTGGCTCCGCCCGGCCTTGAGGTTATCATGATGACTGAATCACTAAAAAATCTTTTTTTGGATTAGCTTGCTGATCAGGGCAACTATTGGCATCTTGATTTTTGCATCATTAGGGAATTGGCTTTCAAAACTTCCCAATATTTTTTTGTCGTCTTCGTATTCATCAAAGCCATCAAGGACAACGAAGAACTGCTCTGAATGGTGAATGGCGTGCGCCATTACTGTATCGTCTATCATGGTGCTTGTGTTCAGTAAAGGAGAGATATTAAGCAATTCTCTTAGGGTAAGCTCTTTGTTGCCAAGCATGACAATTTGCCTGAACGTTATCAGGTAAGGGAACTTTATATTAGGGATCGATAAGCAATACGTTGACAAGTCTCTGAGGATTTTGTTCGAGAAAAGCGTTTTTCCGATGCCAGGTTCACCTGAAACCAAGATTGACTTTGGGTTGTCTTCGTTTTCGTCAACAAATATCTCAGTGATATCGGTCACTATTTTTCGTGTGCGCTGATCTTCTTGGGCTCTTTCTTGTAGAGATTTTTGTTTGCCTTGGTAGACAGTTAGATTTGTGAATATATCGTCAGTTTTCAGTGTTGATTTAGTTATTCCTCTTGGTAGCAACTCTGTTATCTTTGTTATCGCTTCCTTGAGTTTTATGGAATACAATTCCACGTCTGATAATGAAAAACAATCAATTTACATGTTATCAATTTAATATATGATGAAATGATGGTACGATCAACTGCGGCGAATAAATGCGTAAAGAATAATGATAATAATAATAATGATAATCTTAATAATAGTGCTCTACCAACTGAGCTATAAAGCAAACTTTTTGGCGAGCAGTCATTTCATTGAGTGACCCCATCCATGCTTTAGGAATGATGAAACGATGCTACGAACTGCCGTGAATTATAATGATCATTTCATCATTATTCCTAAGTATGGATGGGATAACCCAATGAATTTACTGCTCGCCAACAGTTAGTTGTAGCTCAGTCGGTATAGCACTGCACAGGCATCGCAATGGCCGCTTGGATTAATTATTTTAATTCACGGCGACGATAATTATTCTTTACACAAATTTAATTTATATTAATAAGGATTTTTTATTCATTTATACAGTTTTTTATTGATTAGAAAAAAAAATATAATTAATTCAACAGTTTTAAATAAAGAGGAAGTTACCTTGAGAAGATATACATCGAAATGGCCCAGCTATTCCTGATGAAACTACTGTTACATCTGTTAAGAGCAAATGTCAGATTGAAACTAATGACGGCCCTAGATTGGTTACCATCTGATAAAGTGAAAGCCAGTAAGAGTCAATCAAAATCCTACATATTGAGAGGAATCTAAAGACTCTTAAGAATTAAATTTCTCCACAGAGAGAGGACCAGCAATATAGACAAAGTATTTGCAGTAAAGCAATGACTATTTTAAAGACAACTTGCCTTAATGATCTAATGTGATAATAATAATAATAAGTTTCAAAAGAAACTTCAAAGTTGGTGCAAGTGTACCGGTGGTTGTAGAGCAGCTCCGCTTTGTACAAATAATTCCATTTTGTTGATTCATTTACAGTGCTGCTATCGGAACCGGGGCCACTTAAAAAAGCGAGGCAATCACGTTTACGTATGAAAACAATAACATTCCAAATTTAGGTGTCTGAGCCAATCATATGACAGCAAAAACCAGACATGATAGAATTGATAATAGCATTGACCAATCAAATTGCAGCGTTCCCGCGGTAATTTCAACTTCAGCTGAATGCTGCAATATGATTGGTTAGTGCTCCACTTTTTTAAGTGGTCCCGGTTCCGGTAGCCGCACTGTAATATCAGGGGCATGTGCAGGGGGTTCTAGGGATTCTGGTTCCCCCTACCTTTGCAGAAAAAGACTTTGAAATATGAGATTTTTATACACCAAATCAATGGGGTAACAAATTTTTTGATAGTCACTCGCCCCCTTCCTTCCCCCCAATCTCCATCCCAGATGTCGGGACCCTCTCTGATGAAACCCCCTGCAAATGCTTTTGAAATTCTATGTACTTATTGACTGAGTGGGAGGGCCGTACGGGAAAATATTTGGCTCGAGGTTATGCCGTACGGACCGAGCGCAGCGAGGTCCGTACTAGTGACCGAGAGCCAAATATTTTCCCGTACGGCCCGACCTAACTCAGTCAATAAGCATTTTGTCATATGACAGCGTTTTTTAATGTAAAAAAAAAAAATAAATAACAGCGCGCGGAACTTCAAGCCGGGAAAATACGGGTTTGTACGGACCTGTCGCGAAAAGGCGTACGGACCCCATCACGTGACCAGCGCGCGTAGGGCCRAAATACGGGTCATATGATAATACTGTTTACTGTTACTTATATCATAAAACTCATTAATATTCATAAGGCAAAACACAAAATCATAGCCCATGAAGAGAGTTGTATATTACATACAGATTTCTTATTCATTTGCATAAACTTTAACTCTGATTTTCTCGGTCAGATTGATTTTTTTTTTCAAAAGTTTCTTTAAAACCTGAGCTAGTTTACCTCAACGTTTCATAAGTAATATACAATATGAGCGGGCGATCTGTATGAGGTTTAAAACAGCTCGCTTTCAGCTCGCTGTTTTAAATCCTCATACAGATCGCCCGCTCATATTGTATATATTACTTAAACCTTAGCACCCTTTCCTCCCCCTACATTAGACAATTCAACATTATTTGGCTATGCTTATAAAAATGAAGGTGTTACATGTGTCATCTCACCTTGTGTTCCTAGCATGTTTACATTTATTCTGCTACCATCTGATTCTTTGCAGCAATATCCAACTACTTCATTAGAGTCCAGAAATGGGCCATTTACAACCTTAATGAAGCTGCTATCTTCCAAAACCTGGCTGCCATTGCTTGATGTTAACCTGACTGGTACAAATTTAACTAATCCCTCCTTTTGTGTTAGTCCTTTATACTGGCCATTTGCTGTGACTTGGTGAAATTGAGAGGGAATTCTCTTACTGTGCTTTTTAAGGAAACTCTCAAAATCGTTTGTCTTTAGATCTTTATGACAGGCCGGCAAAAATACGTGGAATTCTTTATAGAGCAAGAATGCACTATCTGGTCCGTGATCTATAGTACATTGTTTATCTCTGTTTGGTTTAGTAAAGCGGTGAGCATTTATCTCAGTTTTCACGACATTGTTTTCCAAATTCTTATCCAGACAACAAAAATATATGAAAAACTTTGTTTTCTTATGTTTTTCCAAATATGTTCGATCATTAATCAGCTTCTTCAAGTTTTCATCATTAGGAATAAAACAACCATTCAGTTTCAATGGTTCCTCCTTGCCTTTAAGAGTCAGTTTGATCGAAGCTGTCCCTTCGCTGCCATCTGCTGGTGGTGTTCTAGATCCTAAGTAATCTTCGAACGGCATCACTGATGTATACAATTTAGTCAGATTAACATCCAGATCCAGATTAACCTCCAAAGTAGGTATAAAGTGTATTTAAGAGACAAATCACAAAACTGAAATAAAAATACTTGTAATCAATTTAATTTGGCCATTCTATTATACTTGATAGAACAAAAGGAGTTTTTATTGACTGATGCATTCGATTTTTTACCACATTTGATAATTTTCTCGCTTTCTGATTGGTTGAGAGACGTGGTAAATAAAAGTACATACCACGGTCGCTACTGTGCTCGTGATTAACTTTGATACTTAAAAGAAAAACAATCATGGATTTTCCCGACTTTTCTGTCATTGGAAATTTTAAAATTAATTTTTTTTTTAAATTCCTGACTGGGCAGACAAAGCGAAAAAAGTATGTATCATGATTTGTTGAAATAAATGTCTTGGTTCAGTTTGAAAAGAGATTTTAGTTGTTCTTTTAGCTTGCAAAACGCGCGCAGTACTGGTAAAACAATTTTTATTTGTGGTAAAAAGAAATTTACGATACTTTCTTGTAGTATGTCCTCTTATTTACCACAGTTGGGATCATTAGATTCGTCTCGTGAATCTACAACAATCTAGACGATTCGATGACCGGCTGTGGTAAATAAGAAGACATAGCACGCGAAACTATCGTAAATTTGTTAATTTGAGGGGGGGGGGGGGGGGGGGAGATCTATTTGGTGCAAGCAATTTTTTGGACTTCAGGCGCGTACATGCTATTTTCTTTGTAAATTTACAAAAGCTTTAGTGGCGATTTTTCAAAATTTTGCCTTGTAATGGATCGCCACTAAGAGAAAATATCAAGTTAAGTAAAAGCACTAAATYAGCATAATGTATAACGTTCTAGCTTGATTGTGCGGACATGAAGCAATGGTGAAAAGCCATTATAACATTTCATCTACAAACTACAACTAAACTTGAACATAAAGACGACTAGCAAGTCGTATCGTAAGATTTTACCTGGTAGAAGTTCGATGAAAAGCAAGATAAGACTTGTAATCTAAAGCGAGACTGGACGTACTTCTATTTGCTTGACTGAACAAAGCGTCTTTCGAGACTTTCAGACGTTAAATAAGTTTCATAACATGGCTTCAATGTAAGATTTTCTACATTGTGTCTTAAACATGAAGTTTAAATGCTTGAAAAGGCAGTTATTTGAAGTGATACTTCAATTAGGAACGTCTAAAGCTTTTGAGCTCGAACTATCAAATACTTCGGATGTCACCGAGTATCTTTTTACGCGACAGCCACATGTCACGGTCACACCATCAAACGTCCACAGCCACCTACAAATGTTTAACCACAGGCAACCCAAGCTAAGCATTTGACTAGCAGATTTAGCGATATCTATAATGCAAGTAAATATGAATATACATAAATACATTTTTTATTTGAATTTTTGTCACGTGGTTGCAACCAAAGAATAGCAGTCTCTGGCCACAGGGGTTGGCTCCATCGTGTTTAGGCCCTCCAACGCGCGAGAGGGGTAAAATACAATACAAAGACACCATGAATTAAAAAAACTGCCAGTTTTCTTTGTTATAGATATATTTTACAACCATGTTCTCTGTATTAAAAAAAGCTGTTTACAAAAATATTATGTAGCGCAAATATTACAGCCACTCATGCCGGTTGAAGATGCGTCCATTTGAAAACCAAAAATATGGATTTATTATGAAATATTTTACAATTTCTTTTGAAGAGGGACTGTTCTGTCGGTGTTTAGGGCAAGATGGCTTAGACGAACAAATATAAAGAGAAGCGTTTAGATAAGTTTTAATATGTTTTTTATTAAGCAATTTTGTCTCGTTACTCTTCAAAATTCGCTCGCAAGGCAGTTTATGGACTCTTATGGAGGTGTATGTATCAAAACACGAGTCCGATCTTTTACATCAATTGCTACAAATATACTTGAGTCGTGTCTCAAAATAAGAAAGCCTTAGAGCTAATTAAATAGCAAACACACATAAATATGCAAGATGGGGCATCACGCCTTTCCATCGATTACAGAAAAACACAAAGAATTACTAAAAAAACACTATAGCTCATGAATGATGGGGCATCGCGCTTTCCCATCGATTACAGAAAACACAAACAATTACAAATGAATGATGGGGCATCGCGCCTTTCCATCGATTACAGAAAACACAAACAATTACTAATGAATGAT